GCTATGAATGTCAAGATATTATTAAGGGAGGTCTGCCAGTTTATTGGTAAGTACGTGTAAACGACGGATGTGTAAGCAGTACGGTTAACTAACAGTTTTTAATTACATGATTCAAAATTGTGTTAAGAGATGGCGCTACAAGATATACCATGAATTTAGGAAAAAAACAGTTGGTATTTATAAAGTTATTTTGTGAAATAACCACTACTTTTCTTATGATTATGAATGCAAAAATCGAGCACACAGAAAAATTTTCGTCGACCTAGTAGGAGTTAAATCCATATGCATGCTGCACCGTAGCGTTGCTGTAACCATCAGATCCATGGGTCCCGTTACCGTGCCGTCGATGTTCTCCTGTGTTTTTGTTATAGATCTTTTTACTGACTCTTCGCTATTCGTTGCCGCTAGTGACATCTGGTGAGAGATTTTTGAATAACCTTCTCACCGCAGCCGATACTTTTACAGGTATCACAACTGACGTAGATGTCGCGTTGCGATCAAATGTATTTATTGAGATTTTTGGTTAAATGACTCCACTAGTTTTGTTATGATTGCAAAGATCGGACATACAGATTTTTTTTATTTAGCTGCGACGATTGCCGGAAAGTCCAGTACAAATATCTATAACAAAAACACATAGGAGAATTTCGACCACTCGATAACTGGACCCGTGGCTCAGATGGTTAGAGCAATGCTACGGTGCAGCATGGACGTGGGTTCAAGCTCCACAGGGTCGACGAAAAATAATAATTTTAATCAGTTAGTTTAGTGTCCGCCATCGCTCAATAAGCATAACAATTGACTTCAATACTTGACTCAAGATATTATACTGAATATTTCTTAATGCTTCAACTGACCTACGTGAACATCTTGAAATAATAAAAAAGAATTGTTTTTTGGTATCTATGTATCTATATCTAACTTTAGACAAGATAATTCTCTACTGACTTGTCAATCATGCGAAAAATTTGAATCGACGTGCTTGCAAAAGTCGATCAAGCAAAATGGAGATAGACCATTGAGCTATTATTACTACGGTAATAATAGCTCAATGAGATAGACTGGCTATCACGATACCTCCAATGAACATTACGCCAACATAACTTTTGGAACCTGTTCTGTTTTTACTTTGTTTTTTGTTTCTTTATCTTTTTTTTCACAAAACTCGTTTTTTTTTCGAATTTTGTTTTGTTTATTTATTTTTTTTCACAAAATTTGGGGAGCATAATATTAGTAAATAGATATGGCTGTTTATAAGTTGTGTTCTTAGTGTTCATTGGAGGTATTGATTTGTCACGTGGTCTGGAAAACTGGTGCAAAATTATCACAAATTGGTATCTACATGATGGTTACGCACGTCCCTACTAGAGAAAAGTGGCTCTTGATAGAGCTCGCAGGAAATCTAGAGGAGGCCTATGCCATAAGACACGCTGAGTTAAGAGATATTACGTGTGCCCGCATGCCTGTTATGTGTTTAAATGATTTGTAGTGTTGCTAATTATGGTGTGCATTATAAGATATACTATAGAGTAAAGGTAGGGAAGTAAAATTGAAACTCAGCTAATAATCGTAATAAATAAAAACTTATCAATCATTATTTTCCAGATATGCGCAATGAAAGCAATGCGAACAATACGTTGCTTAAACAATTGGCAAGCAAAGTTCTATTTGCGCTTAGTTTGAATTTCTTCAATGCTGTTTTTAATAGAATCAGTGCCAGATTACAGGTTTGTATTAACTTAAAATTCGTAATCTTTTTCAAAGCTCGATTAACTAGAACAAATTTTTGAACTGCTGGCTAACTGCGTGAAATAGAATACAGATCACATTGATAATTTTCCGGTTCAGTGTTGCCATTTAAACCATTTTTTCCACCATCTGTCAAATTCTGGACACTGTTACCCTTTGAACTCTTTTCTACCAATTTTCTGTCAAACTCTGGACACTGTTGCCATTAAAGGGCATCACAGTTTCTAGCAATTTATCTGTCAAACTTATGCCGTTTATAAACCACTGTTTCTACTCTTCAAAAGTTTGGTCGGTACAGTAACACAACAGGAAAGATAAATAATGAAGACTTGGGTTGTATGTAAACAATGTTATAAAAACATGTTATTTCTTTTTAGGAATTAGCGGCAAGTTCCGAGGAAAACCCCGATTATACAGACATAGAATTAATTCAACACATCAATGTGGATATTGTTAGACTTATACGCTTGCTTACAGGTACGACTAGAGAAAAAAATTAAGTTTTTTATTTTTTAAATATAAATCACAAGTCTCTACGAAATTGAAGATTTATTTAATACTGGCTTTTATAAATGTAATTTCAAATTACATATTAAAGCCAGTATTAGTAAATCCGGAAAAATAGTTTCATTTCCTATGTTATTTCGAATTTAATTTTTAAAATGGAATTCTATTTTCAAATGTTAGTCAGTCAATTCTTTGTCGATGTTTCTTTTTTAATCATGCATGGAACATGCACGCATTAAAACTTTTTCAAATTTTATAAGTTCGCGCGCCATTTTAAAATTCCGTCGTTTACGTAATTTTAGCTGACGTAATTCCGTGAATGAATTCATCCGTTAGCCAGACTTCATATAAAAATAAAGCTTTTTCGAGCAGTACAAATTGCCATTGCAAGAACAAAGTTGCAATAATATCTAGCACGCATAATTACTATGATTAATTAAAAGGGAAATTTTTAAAAATACCATCAGTTTACTTAGTACACGCGTTCCACTATTGAACATAAGCCTCCCCTTGAGCACGCCAACTCTCCCGGTCCTGAAGAAACTATCCCCGTCCTCCGTCCGAAACAATTACTATGAAATATTGCTGAGTTGTTATGGCCGAACCTTTGAAACCATACCTCAGCGACGTAAAACCAAACCAACCAAACCAACGTATAAACCAAGCATAGTTATAGGAGAGACTTTGATAAACTATTTACTTACTGTAAAAGCAAAAGTTTAATATTTGGCTGCTATTGAAAACTATTATACAAGTGAATTTAAAATTAATGTAACGAACAAGTATACTATAGTAACACTAAGCGAGTACGTGAAAATAAATATGTATGTCCAAGAGTAAATAACTATTATGGTAAAAGAACAAATAGACATCTCTTGCCAATTATATTTAACATAATTCGATTTTTAACCGACTTCAAAAAAAGGAGGAGGTTCTCATTTCGACTTTTTTTTTGTATGTTTGTTACGCGATAACTCCGGTATTTGTGAACCGATTTTCATGATTCTTTTTTTGTTGGAAAGAAGAAGAAAATCATCCACCTCTAAGGGTGGCTGCTCACGCATATTTTGGTATTAATGGTTGGTTTTGCTATACTGCAATTTAAGGCGTTTTTCTCTCTCAATATACTTTGAATAGTGAGAATCTATTTTTATTATCTCCTGTGTCAAGTCCTGTATAATGGCGAACTAGGGGATATTTTAATAAAACTTCGCAAATAGATATAATTCCACGTACTTTTTACTTTTTAGTACTCTGTACTGAGATTATTTGAGAGGCAGGGAATTGTTAAGCAAATTTACATTGAAGAAAAAAATTAAAACTTATTCTTCTTGAAAGCATGTAAATTTAGTAAATTCCACACTGGTTTTGTTAAATGTACTCGTACTAGATATACTATAGTTTTGTGATTGTGAGTGTAACTTCGCCAACAAACCGCTTTCGCAGTTTGGTGAGAAATTGTATTATGTTCTCTTGTATGCCTTGTTGCCATAGTCCATTTGTTTAGGTACTGGACAAAATGTAAACAATGTTGACACATATTTTTATTGAAACATATACTTTACAAATAAATAGGCCTAAAAAGGTATATATTAATATAAAGGTATAAATAAATAAGGTATGCAATTTCATGTGAAGCTACGTATCTGTATTTTGTATTTGTAGGTAAGTAAAAATCATTTTATAAATGTATATTTCATTTAATAGACATCTCAAAATTGTTTACATTTAGTTAAGTAACTAAACAAAATTAAATGGACTATAGTAAATGTTACGTTAAAAAAAATACACGTTTTGTATAAATTAATCGTAATTTTAACGTAGTTACTATAATTATGTGATATAATGTAGGAATAAGTGTGTAAATTCGTTTCAGAATCTATACAAAAGTTTAAATTGTTAAGGAAGTCAGCACATTTAGTTTTAGTTAACTCCCTGGAGAAAGCTATATGGAATTGGATGGACACTTATCCCCAGGTAATTACTACTGTATTTTGTTTTAATTTTAGAATAGGTCCACATTTGACCCCCAACTCACTTGACGGAAAAGAACGATGGCGCATGCACACCTAAATAATGCCTTATCAAGGACCAGATTACAGCGTTCAGGGAATATGTCTGCAGGCAAGAAATTCCGAAATTCCATATGCTGTAGTATTTTTTTTTTGTTGTTAATGTTTATAAAACATTGTCAAAAGCCATTATAATTATTTAAAAAAAAACTTAAACTAATATTTCTATTTAAATCGCTAGTAATTATCACCAAAATCTACTAATTTAACTACCGCAGTGGCCGAACGGTTACCATGCCGGACTGCCACGCAAGAGGTCTCGGGTTCGATTCCTGGGCCGGGACAAATATTTGTATGCCCTACATTTATTTCTTTCGTGAATTTGGGTGTAATTTGTGGTTGTCTATTTGTGTGTCCATGGCACCCGCGATACAGGGTTTCCCTACTGTGGGGAATGAGAGTGTGCGTTAAAAAAAGTGAAAAAAAATTGACTTACCAGTAATCGACACTCATCTATAATGAACAAGTAATTGACACTTACCGATAACAAATGAGAAAAATTCATAAAGTCAGAAGTGACGGTTCAAAGAAACGATCCACCCTAATCCGAATTATTACAACAGTAGATCAAAGTAAATCATCTGTTACGTGTGTCGGAAAACTGGAGCAAAACAAATTGATCATAACACACTCTCCGTGCGATGGAATTATGTGATTTAATTCTGCCTTCCCATTCCCATCATCGGGGGACTAGACGTAGGCTTGGGTTGCACCCCTATGTTGTGGAGATTCCAAAGATTCGCACGAAGCGTTACGCTTCCACATTTATATGGCGAACGGCTGTGGAGTGGAATTCCGTCTGCAGATTTGTTTCCTGAACGTTATAACTTGGACCTTTTCCAGAGAGAGTGAATAGGCATTATTTAGGTGTGCATGCTCCATCGTCGACCTCGTCGTCACTTTCCGAAATTGCTATCCACGTGATGGAAAACGTAATAGAGGGCGTCATTATCGAAAATGGCAACGATGCTCATACGTACTACATATGGCAACTTTACAATGAAAGTAATATCAAAATTTGATACGAAAGCTGTCAGCAAGGACTTATGTCAAATCACGATCTTTCTACGCGTTTCGCGTAGTCTCCGATCCGATACGAAGGTAAAACGATGATCGTTGCTTCGTATTTCGTGGTAGACCTCCAGGTCCCTGTTGGAGAAGAGTAGCACTTTATAGAGCTCACTAGAAAGATCTGGAAGAGGCCTATGCCAAAAGGCATGCTGATTTAAATAGCAAAAATAGGGAAGTACAATTGAGTCTATCAGCGCAAAAGTGGTGCAACCCACATTTAATTTTTTTTCTCTAAAATATTACTTTAAATGATACTAACGTACGTCAACAGCACAGCCGTGCAACGGGACAACATCCGTCAATGTGTAGCTAGATGTGCTGTTTGTCCATAATTATTATGAATGTGGACCTATTTTTACGTGTAAAAAAATGCTATCGGTTTCTTTAAGAAATTGCTTTTCAATAATATCGACGCCTGAAAGGCAAAATGGGATAAGCGACACTTTTGGATCATATTGAGTTATATATACTGTTGGAATCAAAAACATTAGCTGATTTCAACGGTATATATAACTCATATGACAAAAAGTGTCGCTTATCCCATTTTGCCTTTGAGGCGTCGATATAATTATTTTTGTCTTTATCAGGAATTTGCGGAAGTGCAATGTCGGCCTAATGACGAGCTAAGCAAGTGTTGCGATACGCTGTTCGACATTTTGCAAGACAGCTTCTCGGACAACAAGAAGAGCCGTGTGGCCATGTGGCCTTTGCAGATCATGCTTTTAATTCTGAACCCGGTAAGTGTTGTTTTATTTTTAATTTATTATTTCCGTTATTTTATCGGTAGATAGTCTGTTACTTTATAAAAAAATAACATATTAAAATAATGTTAAGTATAGAGGGCTGGTTACTAATTATTTTTGTAATTTAAAATAAAAACAAAATACTTGACAAATTAACGCGGTTTATTTTAGCACAGGCAAGAGCTGAAAGAGTAGTACAGAGACAATTTTGACAGTAGTGAAATCTTATACAATGACTTAGAGTTACATACATTTAGCCTTGTTTAAAGTTATAACATATTGATGAAAAATCTATTTATTCTAATATATTAAAATTAAAAACGACTATAAATACAAAGTATTCAACAAATAAAATTTAAAAAAAAAACTTACAAGACAGTGTACTCGAAAAAGTTCAGTAGAGTCACAGACCTCAAGCTAACCAAATTAACTTACATTACTGTTCATGATAGTAAATCCTTAGCAATTTTCAAAATGAGAGTTAACGAGCACTATTTGTCGACTGTTCCATCCAAGTCCATCTAAGTAATTATATAGTTTTAATAATTTAATGTTTTTGGTATTTTTTTTATTGTAATTATTGTCCCCTGTATTTACGTCAGCAGGAAGAAATTTCTCTTAAAAATGAGCAGTAACTTTTGTTTGATGCTAAATGTGTTTTTGTTTTTTTCTGTACAATAAATAATTAAATAAATAATTAATGAGCCAAAACAATGCCAAATAAAATTAATACGGGGTGCGGCGCAGGAACTTCCTTTTTTAAAAAATTAATAAAACATAAGTTATTGAAGATATCGTTTGTATTCTTTTTTCTTTACATAGTGGTACATTTAAAGTTTTGGTTAATTACTTCCTGAAAATGATATCTTGAAGGTGGCCTTCATTCCGGTCAATACAATGGGAGAGTCGAAATCGGAAGTTTCCGACCACTTAGTCCAGAATGTCTGGTCATGTGAGGTCCTGGTTTCTTTTCAAACACACTACAATCGATTCGATGCGATCGAACAATCGATTTTCAATCAGAAACACGACCTGCAGGCGCGATATTAAATTGTCCTCTGAATGCACGCCGTGTTGCAATGATCGAACGGTCGTTCCAAAAGTGTGCCGACTCGGCGAAAGCGTGCTCCTCTCTCGTCCACTGCATGGTTACAAAACTAACCGTCAAACAATACTTTACGCAGCGTCATTTCGATTTCACACATTCCCATTCTCTCATGATTAATAGCCGCTGTGTGGCGCGCGTTTCAAAAAAGGATGCTCTTAGTTGGCATAGCGTCTGACATGATTTGCTAGAAGACGTCGGTTCGAATCCGGCCCGATCGAAGGATTTTTTTTAAGTGTTCGATCTATGTATTAATAATTATAACAAACTGATGGTAATTTTACAAAAAATAATTGAATATCCATTCAATAAAAATGTCTGTTACTTTAGGAAATGAAACTATTTTTCCGGATTTAAATCGCGTATATTTGTTTTTTCAAACAAACCGACGTTTCGGGCCCTTTACAGGTCCCATGGTGGTTGCAAGGACCTGGGGTTTGTCAAACTTCATTGAATGTGTAGGTTTATCCATGGCATGCTCGCATGTCAGAAGTCCGTTATCTACCCAGGATGCTGCGAGAGGCCATTGAAATTAAAAAACATCCTAATTTCAACAGGGAAGATGGTTTCTCCGTACCACCAGTTTGGGATCCAGTATTTCCTCTAATGAAAAATCCCAAACAGACATAAGACTGCAGTACTAATTAATATGTTTTAGTTTATTCTAATTTCTATTAATAATTAATAATAAATTAAACTTAATAAAAATTCATTCAATAAAATAATTTGTAAAACTTAATGTAGCGTAAATTGGAATGTTTTCTTTGTAAAATTAAAAATAAGGTATTTAATTAATAACTATTGTAACTATAGTGAAAAAATAGGGTGGTTTGCATTAATATTAGACATAACTGGTTGAAGACTGTACCACCTCAGTCAACCGTGACCATGGGACCTGTAAAGGGCCCGAAACGTCGGTTTGTTTGAAAAAACAAATATACGCGATTTAAATCCGGAAAAATAGTCTCATTTCCTATGTGTAACAATCGCGAAAACCTAAGAACTCGATCTGTTACTTTAATTAAAATAAGGAGGGCAGACAATTAGCTGTTTTAAATTGTACAAAATTATCTTTATGCTGTGTTTGGCGCTGTGCCTACAGCAGTTAATCTGGACTTTCGTATGTTAGAAACCATTGGGTGATGAATTTGGCTTGAACAGGTGGAACTGCAATGAAACATTAAGGGCCGATAAAAGCTTACCTGTTCAATTCCCGAGTCTCGTTATAGTGTTTAACCATAGAATAATAAGAGCAAGTGGGCAACTCCAACAACCGCTGAGTGTATCGCCGACAATGCAAGCGCTCAGACAAGTCTTTTGTATGCATTACAATCCTTGTACAACCTCAGCATTCGGTTCCGCACGACTGCACACGGCAGGCGACGTTTATTTCACCTCTCTGGGCGCGTACTTAGGTTCCTTTTTTCTCGTAGTGAGCGTCTGGTGTCATTAGTCAGATTTAGTAGGCTATTATGGCGTAGGTATTTTAGATTTTGTATTTTTTTTAGAGTTATGTATCTGTTACGTAGTAACTATTGAATAATCTGTGGTAGGGTTGTTACACTTTTATTTTAGTGGTATAATGCTGCTTTTAAGCAAGGTCATTTATTATTCAAACTTTTTTACAGAAAGTTCTAGAAGAAATCGTGAATGCAGACAGTGGAGCGCCGTGCAGCCCCAGACATACGAAGAAGAAGCACTTCATAGATTCTGTTAAAAGAGGACTTAGTAAGTTTTTTCTTGTGGTAAGCGAAGTTATCGCGTAACATACATACATACAAAAAATACAATCGAATTGAGTACCTCCTTTTTTTAAGTCGGTTAAAAAGTAATGTAACGAATTTGGGAAAACATTCTTTATACATTTTTTTGACGGACTCCATGGTCGAGTGGCTTGCACACCGGATTTCATAGTGTCGCCATCTCTGAGGTCCCGAATTCACACCCGGCCGGGTCATTGTAGATATCTAACTTTTCTATATTGTCTCAGGTCTGGGTTCTTGTGGTACCATTGTTGTTTTCGATTCCCATAACACAAGTGCTTTAGCTACTTACCTTGGGATCAGAGCAACGTTTGTGATGTTTGGCTTTGGCATCGTTTGTAAATTAAATCCAGTGGAAGACGTAGCGTCTCTCATAATAATAATGATACTAACGCACACACTCTAAGCCTCGCACTTGGGAAACCCTGTATCATGGATGCCATGGACACACACATAGGCAACCACAAATAACACCTAAACTCACGAGAGAAATAAGTGTAGGCCATGCAAATATTTCTCCCGACCCCGGAATCCAACCCGAAACCTTTGCGTGGCAGCCCAGGACGGTAACCGTTTGGCCATGGAGGCATCATACAATTTCCAAGTTTAAGTTCAACTTTATCTTAATTTGTTCCTCGTATAATAGTATCACGTTATGTTAAGATACTATGCAATTGTATTGTCTCAATAAAGATTTATTATTATTTTAAAGATACCAGCGGCACCCATTATACCATCACGTGCCGGTAATCCAGAGGTTAAATAGTCGCCATAGCTTCATTAAAGAAGTATACCCTCTGCTCGGGGAAACGAAGCAGGCCCGAATAAGTCTCTGGAAGGAGAGATACCATACGGCGTCACTCATCCCGCTGTCCGAACACCTCCCTCCTGGGAATGATCTGCCTTGGCAAACTTGGAAGTCCCTAAATAGTCTACGGATCCAAGTCGGCCGAAGCAAGGAGTGGATGTACGGGTGGGGTTATAGCTCGGAGAGCGCATGTCCTTGTGGTGTCTCTCCCCAGACAATGGCACATCTTTTGTCCTGGACCTGTACAACGCCACTGATAATGCTGTGTCAGTCGCTGAGTAACTGGTCCTCACGAATGTAAATGACAGAGTCGACACGCCAAGAAGAAGATTATTTTAAAGATTTATGTTGTCTTATTTTTATTCTTAATAATCTCAGTACAGAGTACTAAAAAAACCGACCTCAAAAGTACGTGGAATTACATATAATTACCAACTTTATTGAAATCGGTTACCGGAAAGTGCGCAATACGGGACTTGACACAGGAGATAAATCGGTTCTCACTACTCAAAGTATATTGAGATAAAAACGCCTTAAATTGGAGAATAGCAAAATCAACCATTAAAATAATTGCTCCTTATAATAAAATTTAGGCGCTATTTATGAAAATGAATCTTCATGTGTGAGCAGCCACATTTAGAGGTGGATGATTTTCTTCAAAATTAAATGGGACCACTATGAAGGTACCCTCTGTCCAACAAAAAATAATCGTGAAAATCGGTTCACAAATACCGGAGTTATCGCGTAACATACATATAAAAAAAAAACATTCAGTCGAATTGAGAACCTCCTCCTTTTTTTGAAGTCGGTTAAGAAATATGTAAAAGGAAAATTATCGTTAAAAACCAAAACCAAAGATCTGCAACTAGTTCATAGAAATATTCGTGAGATCTGCTGGTTTGTTCCGTGGCTTAATTGGTAGAGCATCTGGGGTTGTTCTCCTGTTCTCAACACACCGTCCGAAACAATTACTGTGAAATAAGTAACAGTCGATCAAATTAAAAGACGTATGATGCGAACATCGAGTATATAACCAGAAATAGAGACGAAATGTCATTGAATTTATATGAAAACTATTCTGCCATATCATCACTGTGACAACTGCACTCCGATTGACCAGCCTGAATTCGAAACAATTGACGGGTGTCATCAATGGGTATCGTCAATTGTTTTACTTCAAATCGACCAGTTAACTTGAGCTTTGCCATAATGGAAGATACAAAATTACATATTTAATTACAGATGAAATGTGATTCCGTTTGTTCTGTAATTAGATGTTTTGCTGTTTTTCCCCTCACCACCGAATGGAACAGCACGCCATTGTTAGAGATATTCATTACAAGTAGAGTTTATTACAGTAAATACAGAATATTTTAGGAATATACGGAGACGTACACACAGGTCAGTTATTGCCGCGTACTATTTCAGCTTTCTAATTTGTAATTTCAGTGCAAACGAGAGTTGATATTTATAAGTGATGTATCACTGATGAGTTACCAGGAATGTATACCCCCTTATTTCGTCTCTATTTCTGGTTATCTACTCGATGGATGCGAATGAAGCTTGACTTTGGCTTTTGATTGGGTCGTGTAGTACTTATTTGACCGTAATTGTTTCGGACGGGAGGAAGGGAGTAGACCCATTGGCACGGATTGCCTGAGGGTGCTAGTTCGTATCCAGCCGGATTGAATTCTTAATGTATCGATCTTTGTCATTGACTTACAAATAAATGGACGACGGGTCTAATACAAAAACCACGAAAAAAATGTCCCAAGTCAACCCATTTAAACGTAGTGACATGTAAAGGATTATGAAAAAGCTAAAACGTTGAATTTAAATTGTAATGTCATCGCAGTACTGTCTAATTTTGCGTGCTTCGCTGTCAATCGAACAAACGAAGACTAAAGCGTGAATGACGCTCTGTATACGATTTTAACGCCCTGTAAGTTCGGACACTTTTTAGCGCGGACCGTCGGGTCCATATAATTGTAAGTCAATGATCTTTGTTGTAATAATTACAACAAACTATTGGAATAATTAAAAAAAAATTGAGTGTCATGGTATGTAAAACATCGTGACATTAATGTTAACACTGCCTCAGTGGCCGAACGGTTACCATGTTGAACTGCCACGCAGAGGTCCCAGATTCGATTCCCGGGCTAGGAGAAATATTTGTACGGCCTACATTTATTTCTCTCGTGAGTTTGGGTGTAATTTGTGGTTGTCTATGTATGTGTCCATGGCACCCGCGACACAGGGTTTCCCTAGTGCGGGGCTATGTTGAGTGTGTGCGTATTATTATTATTATTTTTACTTTTTTTTTATTACTAGAAAATTATCATTAACATATTGTTCTTATCGTATCAGTGACTTATAATACAATGCAATCATGGTGAAAGGATTTGCTAATTGGTGTAAGGGCGCTCCCATTATGTCGTGACGACAGATAGTCGCATATTTTAAAGTGTCGTGGCTTCTATATTTAAAGAACAAAGCGATAAACTGTTGATCACGATGTTTTTGACGTTACGACGATAGACTGTCGCAATAATGAGAAGAGCTAGAACGACTGTCGTCCAACGATAAATAAAATGTCTCGATAAAAATGTGACGACAGATAATCGCAGGTTCAAACGAATCTGTCGCGCAAACGACAAGGCGGCAGCCTTCAACCGATATATTGTCGTTACGATCTAGTGGCAACAGCTAGACATGACAGTCGTTCAACGATAAAATAAACGTTCACGACACAAGCACGACAGATAGTCGTGATATGGGAATAGACTAGCCGCGATAGTCGTCGTTATGACATAATAAGAACGCGCCCTAAGATACTCGCCTTACGTGCGTCAGATGTACAGGAAGGGCATGGTACGTGGTGCGGGGAGGCTCCTCGTGCATCCCTAAATTTATGGTAACCAGCCGCTATATATTTACAGGTCCTCAAAACAACTCCAAACAGATGACAGAAGCAGCAGTCGTGACTTGTGTGAAGCTGTGCAAAGCATCTACATACCTGAATATTGCTGATTCGGGGAACGTTACGTTTGTTCTAGTTAAATCTGTGATTAATGATCTCAAGGTGAGTGTCTTAGATTATACTACGAGGCGGATGTAACTCCTCTGCATCTCCTTAGAACGATGCCACACGGACGTTGCGTCGTTGCAAAGCTATGATTTCAACGCATCGAGGGTCACACGAGTGTTGCAGTGTCGCAAAGTAACGTCGCTTACTTTCGCACCGCAGCTCCCTTCACCGCTTCATCTCCTGTCCTCTTATCGGACGCGCACGCGCTGCACGTTACAACGCAGCAGTGCCTGTGTGGCATGTAGTTCTAGTTTATATGTAGCACAACGCCGACGCAACGCATCATGTGGCATCGCTCTTACCCAGTGCTTTTTTATGACACCCGAGACGAATAAATCGTGCGCCTGGTGGTAAGCGACACGCCTGTCCATAACAGTTGCAGTGCCACTCAGACCTTTAAATCACATATTTGAGGGGCTTTGCCACTGTGCCCGCAACCCTGAGTCATAAGTTTACAAGTTCCATGTGCCTGTAGTGTCAGCAACACCCTTACCCTTCCAACCCGAAACACAGTAACGCTCACTTCTAATAATGCTGCCCCTGACGAACGTAGTGTGTAATGAGTAATGAGTAAGCAGCTCGAGGCGGTTGGATTTCTGTAGCCTGTCTCTACGGCCCGTTTGCTCGCTAGTTCTTGGATCTGAGTCCCTGACCTCTGCCGACTGTGCCATTGCGACACTACGCCTACTTCATTTTTTGATAATTTTTTGTTATTTTTACATTAGTATATTTTGTACATGTTCATATTTATTTACTAATATATCTAACTAATACTAATATTCCCTCGAAATTTTATGACAAAAAAAAAGAATCAAAACGCAAAATAAAAACAACAGTGGTGCAAAAATTTTTTTGGCGTAGTGTTAATTAGCAGCATCCATTTGAAAATTCAAAACCAACCAAAGAGAGTCTAAAATAGACATCCAAAATATTAATAATAATTGTCTTAGCCTGTATCACGCGGTTATCTTTATTTTCAGTCTCTCCTCTTCAACCCTTCAAAATCGTACATCCGAGGCAATCTACTGTCAGTATACTCCGAACTGGATCTGATGACAGACTGCTTCGTGTCTCTCTTTCGCATAATGCCTCATAACAATGACGCATTGAAGGTCTGCTTGAACCTAAACACGCACATATCTTACCATTACGTCATCGTTAACTCCCTTTTGAGGTAAGTGTCTTTTACAATGTTTTGATAATTTTTAAGTTGATTGAATATCACAATGTTTGACCACCATGATGTTCAATTACTTCTTTGACGGCCTCCGTGGACGAGTGGCTTGAACACTGTTTTTCATGATGTCGCCATCTCAGAGGTCCCGGGTTCGATCCCCGGCCGGGTCAGTGTAGAAAACTAACTTTTCTATATTGGCTCAGGTCTGGATGTTTGTTATACCATCGTTGTTTCCGATTTCCATAACACAAGTGCTTTAGCTACTTACTTTGGGATCAGAACAACATATGTGATGTTGTTTAATATTTATTTATTTATTTATGTACATTTATTTCTGTGAAAACACTTAGAAAAAATTCTCGATCTGGCTGTATTCGAACCAACATCTTCCAGCAAATTGTGTCAGATGTACGTCCTAAATAAATAATCCTAAGTCACGGAACGAACAAGCGGACCTTACGAATTTTTGTGTGCTTGTTGCCGATCTTTGATTTTGGTTCTTTATTTTTTTTAATTTGTTAGGTTCATCTACATTGTAACATCATTTACATGTTCTTAGGTTTTCGCGATTGTTGCACATAGCAAATGAAACTATTTTTCCGGATTTAAGTCGCGTATATTTGTTTTTTCAAACAAACCGACGTTTCGTAAAAACAAATATACGCGATTTAAATCTGGAAAAATAGTGTCATTTCCTATGTGTAACAATACCTATCATTTACATGTTCAATTTACATAGATAAGGGTATTTTGACATGATGCGCAACTATAGTCCATTTGTTTAGGTACGTAACTAAATGTAAACAATCTTGAGATGTCTATTGAATGAAAAATACATTTATAAAATGATTTTTCATTACCTTCAAATACAAGTACTAGCTACAAATTGCGTGCCTATTTATCCACCAGAGGGTTAGGGTCGGGGAGGTAACTAGTGGCGATCTGCCCATAACTTACGGCGTGCCGCAAGGCAGTGTTTTAGGCCCCACACTGTTCCTCGCCTACATTAACGACCTCTGCAATCTCCAGCTCCGAAATGGTAGGATTGTGACGTTTGCCGATGATACGGCCTTAATTTTTCATGGCGATACTTGGCATGAAGTGTACGCCGATACTCAAAGCGGTTTCAACTTAGTCTGTTCTTGGCTCAAAAACAATGGGCTAACATTAAATGTAGACAAAACTAAATATATTCCATTTTCAATTAAAAATATCCCATGGACCACTCATGATGACTACACCATCTTAGCCCATACCTGTCTCGGCGACCCGACGTGCTTCTGTCCCAGTCTTACGTTAGCTTCACATATCAAATATCTTGGTGTAATGATAGATAACACCTTGAGTTTCAATATGCATATAGATTTACTTTCAGCTAGGACACGTAAACTAATTTATATCTTTAAAAATCTTAGGCACATCGCAGATAACCTTGTCATTAATATGGTGTACTTGGCGTTATGCCAATCCGTTCTAACGTACTGCATCACTGCTTGGGGTGGAGTACCTAAATCTTCTTTAATAAAGGTTGAAAGAGCTCAGCGAGCTGTCCTGAAAGTGAGTCGGTCTTTGCCCTTTATGTTCCCTACTTCAGACCTTTATTCCCTTTGTGATGTCTTGTCTGTGCGTCAACTATTTGTCCTGCACACTGTATTAAAACAACACGTTGTTCTGAACTATGATCCTTCGCTCCATAATAACAAACGTTTGAAATATAAAGTATGTCATTCTTCTACTCGCTGGACCACAGCTTTTTTGAATAGATTCTTCGGTTTTCTAGGCGGGTATTTATATAATAAAATAAATAAAACAACTAAAATATACTCGCTCACTAAATTCAACTGTAAAAGAGTTGACAGTAGTTGGCTTAAAAATCTAAGTTATGATGAAACTGAAAATCTCTTAATTGTTCCAACTTAAAATAACATCTAAATTATGATTAATCTTAAAATCTGTGAATTATCTCAACTTAAAATAATGAATACTAAATAATATGGTTATTTCATTATTTAAAAATGAAAAATTGTAAAATTGTAAAAAATGGTAAATTGGGTTTTGTATACACCTTGCACAGTCATTCACACTCTCTGTCACACACAGAAAACACACACGCACACGCAAATACACATACACACACGCACGCACGCACACACCTTCACACACACCATCACATACACATGCACACACTCATTTATCCACACACCCTCGCGCCTTAAGTCTATTATATTAATAAAGTCATTTCTTGATGTAACTATCTAAGTATAAGTAAGCTGTACTTGCTTTTGGTCCGGAGTGTGGAGGGGCTGGTGATCTGTAATACAGGTCTCCTAGTACGGATGCCAGTCTCTCATACAGACTTAAATATTGTACTATTTAGATAATTAAGCACTGTTTTTGTATTTATACTAAGACTTTGTGAGAGAAACAATAAAGATATATATTATATTATATTATATTTATATACCTATTGATCTGTAAAGTATATGTTTAAATAAAAAGATGTAACAAGATTGTTTACATTTAGTTAAGTAGTTAAATAAATGGATCATATTGACAGATGAAACACATGTTGCATTGAGAAAGATATTCCTAATATTTTAGTGCTATAACAACGAAAACAATTGTACAAAAAACGAACAACAATACAAATAGAAAAATAATAACTATAATTTTTTTTTAATATTTTATATTAAAATTTTTATTTTTATTCTTTTTTAATTTTATTTTTATTTTCTTCAAATTTAAATGGTACCAATACCGAGGTACCCTCTTTCCAACAAAATAATCTCAGTACAGAGTACTAAAAAAAACCGACCTCAAAAGTACGTGAAATTAAGTCTATTTGCCAAGTTTTATTGAAATATCCCTTAGTTCGCCACTATACGGGACTTGACACAGGAGATAATAAAAATCGGTTCTTACTACTTAAAGTATATTGAGAGAGAGAAACGCCTTGAATTGGAGAATAGCAAAATCAACCATTAAAATAATTGGTCCTTATAAAAAAATTTAGGCGCTATTTATAAAAAAATGAATCTTCATGCGTAAACTGCCATCCTTAGAGGTGGATGATTTTCTTCAAAATTAAACGGGACCACTATGGAGGTACCCTCTTTCCAACAAAAAAGAATCATGAAAATCGGTTCACAAATACCGGAGTTATCGCGTAGCATACATACAAAAAAACTACAAACAGTCGAATTGAGAACCTCCACCTTTTTTTGAAGTCGGTTGAAAAATCATCAAGATGGGTTCACAAATATAAAACTTGGGTCCAGCAACTTTAGAATTGGGATCCGTAGAGAAATCAAGGAGAGGCCTTTGCCTATCAGTGAGACACTTTAGACTAATTGTAATTTGTTTCCAGGATAATAAAGCAACCGCGTCTGCCTTGGTGGCCTCAAATAGAACTGCTGTACCCGCGAGCGGCAGAACTCAGGGCCATGTTCACGGACACTCTGAATAAGGCCACGCAGGCAAGTGACCAATTTTGTTAAACTTGGGATATTTCTTTTTATTTTATCTTTTGTATTTATTTTATTCACAATTAAAAAGTCTACAAAAAGAAACATAAAACAGCGAATAAAAACCATTAACAGATTTATGTATCGCTGCCATCACATGCTATCAGGCGCTATCTCATGCTATTGTTAAGAACAAAATAATTACTGACCAATACTTATACGTATCTAATAATTTACTCAACAATAACTTTCACAATTTGATAAATGAATTGACTTAAGAATCGTTTTACAATTTTTTGGTTTACCTATAAGTTTATCAACAACGTCACTTGGCAATTTATTAAGTAACATATATCTCCAGACACGCTTTCCGTAGTTGTTATTGTTTGGAGGAAGAACATACCTTGGTAGGTAATTTAGATTACGCGGTTTAATTATACATTGGTTTATGGACACGGTGTCAGCTTACATTGTGACTACAGCAGGCAGGTTAAGCGTAGTTTTATAAGTTGCTAGAAATTGGTGAGTAAATAAAATACAGTTAAAATTTCATCACAACCGTTTCGTTCGTCGTTAGCGAGAGGCTACTTACATTGACAACATTATTTATTAAAGTACATGCCGCTACGAGGATTGTAACTATGGCAATCTCGGGAAAAAAATCGAGACTAGGCGTGGTGTCGAAAATCCCGGAAAAAACGAGACATTTCTGAAGTAGGTTTCCATACTTATAGGTCGTCAAAACATGGTATTTTAATCAAGTTCTTTAATAACTTATAGTTTCCCAAAGTGGTCCCTGCCCCCCAGTGGGCGCTGATTTGTCCTAGGGGGGCCTTAAGGGCCTCGGAAGCAATTGGGGGCATTGATGCTGTCCAGGGGGTGTTACCGCGTTTGTGAATTATAACTATGTAGTATAGTTTATAGCGATAATTCAGGTTATTTTTTTACTTTAAATATGTGTAAAATTCTTGCCTAAGTGGGCGGTAAACTAAAACGTTTGGGAACCCATGACTTAAATAATTACTTAAAAATTTATTTACGAAAGTTTTTCATTTTTATACTGGCCGCGTAAGCTCCACTGTACAGTGTTGCCATGTCCATGTAACCAGAATAAAAATGACTGTTGGTTACTTAAATGTCTTAAGAATCAAAAGTCTCTATATTCCCGAGCCTGAAAACAACAGGCCCTGCTCTCCCGTTCTCTGTCCGACATCCGTTTGAAACAATTACTGCCAAAAAGTAATACTCGGCCAAGAGTTAAAAGATGCATGATGCAAATGAAGCTTCATACCTGATATTGTCTTAGTATTACTTATGTGACAGTAATTCCTTCGGAAGGAGAATGACAGTAGACCCCTGTATCGAGTGTCGAAAATGCCAAAAAAATTTTGGTCTCGAAAATTTCGAAATCGGGAATTTCGGTCTCGAAAATATCGACATCGGGAATTTCGGTCTCGATAATTTCGTCATCGAGAATGTCGGTCTCGAAAATTTCGACATCGGGAATTTCGGTCACGAAGATTTCGACATCGGGAATTTCGGTCTCGAAAATTTTGATATCGGGAATTTAGATCTCGGAAATTTCGAGAATCTTAAAGTTTTTTTGTCATTTTCGAGACTCAAGTAATGAATGATGAAAGTCCTATATTGTAACCCTTGACGTCATTGTGAATCAACCCCTGTCCTACTGTACTACCATTGTTATCACATTTATTTTTACAGGGTTTCATAGTACACACCCCGCTACGTATGATTTCGCTTTCACTCAAATCGAAAGAGGTACAATCGAAATTCAACAAGTCAGAAGAAATGCCGGCCTATAGAAACTTACTACTTGCCATGGTGAAGCTAATTCATGAAGACCCTATGTTGATGTTGAGTGTACGTATTAGTATGAATCATAATTAGATGATCAAAAGGTCTGGCAAGAGCGGTATAAGTGACACCGACTCGAGAGACACTGGTTCGAGTCGAGTCGGTTATAATACTAACAAACTACAGACCTACCGCTTAACTGAGTCGTTGTTGGGTAATTTTTCGAAAAATTTGAAATAGTGGAAATCTTTCCCGAAAATTCTCTGATAAATTGGGAATAAAAGAAAAAATATCTTTTTATTTATTTTATTTTTCTGAAAAATATGATTTTTGCAAAATGGAAATTATTCCATGACTCAACACTATGAAGGAGTGACAGTGTACGTAACAGTTATGTCTCGCCGCACACGGGACAATTTCAACAACATTTTTTTGACGTTGTTCAATAACAAGGTATTGAAAAAAGTGCCTACCAAATTAGTCCATTGTTGTTATTTGAAACGATAATAAAAAATTATTTAATTAAAAGTTAAATGACTAACAAGCCATTTGGCACTTTTTCTCAATCAACTTGTTATTGAATATTGTTAGAAAAATCTTATTGAAATTATCCTATGTGCAGCGCGATATAAGTCACTCCTCCAGCAACGCGCAGCTACCTCAGGAACCGACTCAGTTAATCCGTTGGCCTGTATTGGAGTATTATCACAAAAAAATGAATATCATGATAGTAACGCACGCAGGCACACACTCGACATAGCCCGGCACTAGGGAAACCCTGTGTCACGGGTGCCATGGACACACACATAGACAACCACAAATTACACCCAAACTCAGGAGAGAAATAAATGTAGGCCTTACAAATATTTCTCCCGGCCCGGGAATCGAACCTGTGACAGCTGCGTGGCAGTCCGGCATGGTAACAGTTCAGCCACAGAGGCAGTTAACGAACGGTTATCATAAATAATAAATAAAAGAACCTGTAAAAAGGTTTACGGTCTCTGCAATGTCACTTTGACCGTGACAGTTGTTTACATTTTTGAACTCTAATTCTATCTCATAGTATATCTCTGCGTGGTAGTCCGGCATGGTAACCGTTCAGCCACAGACGCAGTTTAGTTTAGCAGTAGAAACATTATGATACTCAATAAAACAAATATTGCAATTAGTATTCTTTTTAACACAGAATCCAGGACGTAGCGGTGTAGAAATACAATCATCTACCACAGAGCTGATAAACGGTCTAGTGTCTCTGATACACCAGACAGGCATGGGCGAAATATCTCAAGAAGCGATGGACGCCTTACTGGCGTTACATAGGCCCGATAGAGTTCATATGTGGAATCCCGAGGCGCCGCTTAACACCTTTTGGGACATAAGGTGTGTGGAAGTTTTGAGGAACTTCTAAACTTACATATCTCTTTTTCCCGTGGTAAATTGGCAACTTCTTGTTAGCAATAGAGCTTCTTGTGAAAGAGTTCGTCCAATGAAGTACTGTCACTTTACCTATTTCTGCCGCCAAGCAGTAATAGTTGGTTGTGAAGGGCAAGGGTATTGGTGAAACTAAAAGCACATGGGACTTGTGAACTTATGTCTAAGGGTGACGGTTCCAGCGGCAGTGCCCCTCAAATCTTTGCGATTTAAAGCTCTGAGTGACACTGCAACTGTTATGGACAGGTGTGTCGCTTACCACCAGACTTCCTCGTCCCGTCACTTAGTATTATAAAAATAGCAGTTTGTCTTTGAAATGTCGCTACGTTTTAAGCTTCGAGCTTATTAGAATCATCACACGACGAAGATGCGCCAACTTTGTGCGCTATATACGCAGGTAGCGGTAGGTTAGGTGGCGCCATCTAGTAGCAGTATTACTCAACTACTTACTCTGCACTTGTCGAACGTCTCCGAAGCCTTGTTGAGGAACTCAGTGGTTGACTACACTTGCTTGGTATCGTCGGTCTTTCTTTCGGAAATTCAATGGTTGCAATTAAATTTAAGTTTCAAAGCTAGATTTAAAACAGGACGTAAATATTTTAAAACAGTCGTGAAGAACTAAAACTTGCATGTAGTAGCAGTAGAGCTCCTTGTGAAAGAGTTCGCCCAGGAAAGTACCTTGCCTATTTCTACTGCCAAGTGGTATGTGAGCATTACTGCGTTGTTGGTGAAATTACAGGCACATGGGACTCGTCAACTTATGTCTCAGTTTGACGGGCGCAGTGGCAGTGCCCCTCAGATTCACTGTCGAGATCATTAAAATAAATAATATTCCGCTGAAAAATTCTACAAAATCGACCCCTCCTACGTAAAGTAGTGAGTTTCAGTGAATTCAGAACTTTAAAACGCTCCCCTGTAAACTTGGTAATTTCGAAATACGTTACTTTACGTAGGAGGAGTCGTAAATATCGACGATATGAGCTTCGGCTAACTTCGGCGTTATTGTATATTTATTAACATCAACAGACGATTAAGTTTTAATGTATTTTTGTTATTTTCAGTTCGCAAGTACTCTACAATATAAGTCAAAAACTGATACAACGGCAAATATGCAACTACCGTGAGGTTCTGCGTTGGCTAAGAGACATTCTAACGTGCAGGAATGAATTTTTAAACAAACACAAGGAGTATGCAAATGTTGGATCGCAAATACCTATTTGTAAACAGGCGCATATTAAATTGGAGGCAAGTATTCATTTATTGCCAAAGACTTGAATCTATAAACAAGAACATTCACTGAAATTTCTTGCAGGCGACAATAACTTTTTTTTATCAAGTGTGTTTTAAGGTGTTCGGTAAATGAATTGTACTGTGTAAAATGACAGTTCAAGGCGTGAAAAGGTTGCCAGCTTACAAACAGCCAGTGATTGCAATCGATAAATATTCTATCGACTATCGTTTGAATATTGATTACACTTTATATGGGTGAATCTCATGGTTCAACCTATATTATTATTAAGATTCATAAAAAATTGTTAATAAAAATTGACGTCATCTGGGAATAAGAAGATCGAACCTCTCTCCTCCACGAATTCATTTCGATACCAGTGGGTAACTAAGAAGAAATGAGGCGATAAGGTGATTAATCATTAGGACGTTATAACATTCACTGTTCAAGCGTTTCTGCGAAATTATATCACCTTTCACAATCTATCGATAAAATTATCGACTATAACTACATGACTATTTAAAATTTTATGATAAGTGGTAACCCTGTACAACTTGACGACCTCGGTGGCTAACGGTTTACGCTGGATGCGGAGCATTTGATTTCCAGCATGACCTATTTGGGAAATGAACTTTTTTAAATCGGTTCAGGTCTGTATTTTCAGGTTAATACGCCGGAGTGAATTCCGTTGCTCTGTAATCGTAATATTCAGTATTCCTTACCTTGAGTCCTTTTATTATGTAAACATAATTGTATTTTGAGCCGGGTAACTTGTCCATTTCAGGTGGTATTCTTCATGTGTCTATGGTCAATAGACACAGATGTAGTCCTTGTCGCAATGTCATGTTTCGCCCTGCTCTGTCAAGAAGCCGACATCAGATGTGGCAGCGACGAGATAACAACTCAGTGCTTATTGCCTAACTACACTGTGTTCCAAGAGATTGCCCATACGTCTACAGTGCTGACCACTGGTAAATATTTTTAAGTAACAATTTAAATTACTTATGCTTTGGACATAAAACGCTTTAACACAGTGTCCATACCAAACATGTGTTCTGCATCGTCTCCTTTAACTGTAATGACCGTAACTTTTAATTTTAACGAAATAAGTTATACCGGGTGGAACAGAACGACCGACAAAGCGGAAAACTGTGAAGAGTCTTAAATGTGTACTTAATTGTACTGAAAGTCTTTTTGCTCTAAGTGTAATAGTTTCCGAGTTATTCAATGATAAAGATTTGCTTGAAAAGTCTGTATTGTCAACCCTACATCATAAAACACAGCTGTTTGGAGGCAACTACCGGGAGGTACTCAGGGCAAAAACTTTGTAATTTAGTAGATCGTTGACCTCCGTCGTTGATCAGCACCCCATCAGTCGCTTTCTTTCATCAACCACTTTCTTTGATCAGTCATCATGTGAATGATGATTAATTACGCGGGTATTTTATTGTATTACTTTGAGAGTAATTAACACCCCTAAATTGCGTGTTTGACGACCCAATATTTACCGAAAAAATGCACCTCTCATAGAATCTTCGGGAAACATGTTGTTTCTAAACCTTTGTAGGTAGTTTATGACAACGCATAGTTGACAGGGTCATTTAGACTTCACTTTTCTTAAGTTGTTGTCAACTTAAGAAAAGTGAAGTTTTCTAAATGACCCTATCAGGAGTTTAACTCATATTGCCTGCGTCATAAGATAAGACTAACTTAAATAAACATAACTAAATTAAGTAAACACGTTCTACAACATGCGTCAAGTACTCAAATTACAATAGTCTCGTAACCCTTAATCCGGCCCTAACGTAAAATAGTAAATTGAGGCAGCCAATCACGTCACTTAGAAATTTAGAGATGGACACTTGATAACTGTTATCTGTTTTTGCTAGCATAATCGGGAGATCGTTTTTTTTGTAATAGTCTATTTATGAATGCATTTGGAAATAGTTTTAATTTACACTACAAGAATTTACTAACTTTAAAACGAAGAGTTCATTCTATTGATATCAACATTTAAAACTAAAATTTCTATTAACTTGAGCTGTGTAATTGAAATTTTAATAAATGTAATGTAAAAATAAATAAATCGGAGGATCGTAGAGGTCTGCAGACCACCTCCACGTTTCGCTTTCTTATTTTTGATTAAATTTGATTATTTATTACAATTTTAAACGACCTGCATTTACTTTACTTTTACTTTTGAATTGCTCATGGTACTTATACCAGACAATACGATTATTGCGAAAGTTATTTCTTTATCATAATTGTCTTTTTAAAATTAACATTTAGATATTTAATAATCAATGATATCCGACGCGTACGCCGCCGCCGCGCGCATCTCTATGCAGAGTTGCCAATTAAGCGACTTTGTCCCTTTATGTGATGATTTGAAATCAAAAGCGTCTTTTATTTCTGGCGACAAAAAAAAATTGGTATTTTTTGGCGCGTATTTAATAAGGTTTAATCGTTTATAATTTAATATTATTTTTATCTTAGTATTCAGGAGTCTTACCTGTACTGGGACCATTCTGTTTAGTGATATTTGCTTTAGTCTAGTTGGTAACACTTTTTCATTCATAAATTAGTTCAAAATGCCTGGTTGTATGGTAACTCGTTGTCTCATGTTTTTCTCGTGTTTACAACAAAAAAACAACGTTTACTTGTTAGTTTTTGGGTTGTGACAGCAACTTATTGGAATAATGCCGTTATTAAGTAGTGCTGGTGTTAAGCAAGTAAAATGTATTAGTGTGTTTGCGTGGAAAACCATATCGGCGTATGACCGGCACACCCAGGAATGTGTCTGGGATGTCTGCAAGAGTAAAGGGGACCTGGACAAATCGAACATCCTTTTAATTTAAAGTAAGTTCAATGTTTTTTAATTACCTATTCAAGTGAGAGCACTTATTTCTTCTGCGAGTGGCAATGACACGAACGCCGCCTGTGGGGCAGTAGATGTACTAACACGATTGATTCGCTTAGGGTTGTTGCACCGCGAAAGTTTTAAATCTGGACGAATATTTTTCAACTGCTCTGATTTTACATTTAAAGTAAATAAAACTCATGTATGTTGGGTTCTCAACGTGATATTTTCGGCTTTGTCGGTCGTTCCGTTCCACCCTGTATGTGTAATTCGATTCGGTATTTAACGTTATGTGTTGTGATACAAATAAGTAATTTTATTTTACTTACTTGCGTATTACCTACGTAATCTGTAATGGGTTTGCTATGTCGTCAACACAACCCTAAGGCTGTATACTGTAGGCTGTTTAAATGGACACTACTACACTATATGGACACAAGTTTTCTAAATGAACACAAGTTGTCTAAACAGAGACAAGTCTTCTAAATGGACACATGTTGTCTAAACAGACACAATTTCATTAAGTGGACATTATAAGTGGATACAAGTTATTTAAATGGGCACAAGTTGCCTAAATGAACACAATTTCACTAAATAGATTTTACTAAATAGACACAAGATGTCTAAATAGACACTACACGACAACTAATATTCAATTTAAAGTATGGGTATAACAATTATTATTATATTTTAATTAGTTCCCTACTCCGTATTTACATATATTCAAGCTGTTTAAATTGACACTACTACACTACACTTTATGGACATAAGTGTTCTAAATAAACACAAGTTGTCTAAACGGACACATCTTCACTAAACAGACATAAGTTTTCTAAATGATACAAGTTATTAAAATGGGCACAAGTTGTCTACCTGGACGCAACTTCACTAAATACACACAAGTTGTCTCACTAGACACTACACGACAACTAATATAACATTTGAAGTATGGGTTTTACAATTATTATTATATGTTAATTAGTACCATACTCCGTATTTCGGCCTTAAAAATTATTAGATTTTTTATATTTTACAAGCTGCTTACCAGGACATCAGTAGGAGTTGTTATTATAAAAATATACACAGTAAGTAAAAGGTAGTTTAATGAACGTTCGCCTTTAGATCTTCCTTCCTTATTATAAAAATGTCAGACTTCATAGCTCACATGGCTTTTGAGACATGGGACCACCAGAGAGGCCATTTGATAAACGTTGTACAGGGTGCCTTTTTTTTTTGTTTATCTATATTTTAGAAGATGATTATACCCATTGTTCGCGCTGGTAACTCCATACGGCGCACATGCATACGGATGGACTATAGCTACTGACCAAACGACACCACTTATTTTTATGCATTTTAAATTTCATTACTCGTGATTCCTTGTAATCGAAGTACAGAATATGTTGAGTTAACTGATAAAAAGCATCAATTCATTGTGAAATCAATCCTGAAAATCAAAATAGACTATCATACACCCATCAATATGAACAATTTTTAAAACCTCTCATGTCGCGAAAAAGGAGGTGTTTTTAGAATAAGGGCTATTTGCATTGACTTACAATTATATGGACGTCGGGTCCGCGCTAAAAAGTGTCCGCACTTGTAAGGCGCTAAAATCGTACACAGAGCGCGACACTCCGCTTTAGTCTTCATTTGTTCTACTGACAGCGCGATACTGCGATGACATAACAATTTAAATTTCGAATAGATCGACTTGGGACATTTTTTTCGTGGTTTTTGTATTAGACCCGTCGTCCATTTATTTGTAAGTCAATGGCTATTTGTATTTATTTTTAAAGGCTGAATATCGATTCCGTATCAAAGCGCATTCTTATTTTTAACCGACGTCAAAAAAGGAGGAGGTTCTCTATTCGACTGTATTTTTTTGTGTGTATGTTACGCGATTACTCGATTACATTACTCGATTACGCGATTTGTGAATCGATTTTGATGATTCTTTTTTTGTTAGAAAGAGGGTACCTCATCTGTGGTCCCATTTGAATTTGAAGAAAATAATCCATCTCTATGGGCTGCAAACTAGAGTATGAATCCAGTTTCCGGTAACCGATTTCAATAAAACTTGGCAAGTAGATGTAATTTCACGAACTTTTGAGGTCTTTTTTTTGTATAAAAAAGTTATTTAAAATAGTCTTCAAATTATATTTTTATATTTTCTTACTTTTATATTATATTTGTATATATTATATGGGCCGTAGCTGCTTGATTTTTAAACAAATAAGTAATAGTAAAAATGCATTTCTTTTTCACGTTACTGCACACTTACGCGCACAAAATGTTACAGTTGATCAATTATACCCGTAGACTTAACAGGTGACCTTTGATCTCAATTATCTCAGGTCACAGGTCAATATTAACAAGGTAAGCTTCGTCATGACCTGTAGTATTGTATTTTTTTTATGCTAGTTTAAAATTCCATGCATATCGGTTGACGAATCGCCGAGTGCTTCAATTCGGATTTTTTTTTAAATTGGAAAAAAAATTGGGATACCAGGAAGCTTTAATAAGATATTGTTGTTTATTAATGTAAATTTTTATGTAACAGGTTCAGCTGGGCTTCAAAAACGCATTATGGCTTTATTGAGGAAGATTGAACATTGCGTGAATGGCGTACAACCCGTCTGGGAAGAAACCTTCCGTTGTTGGTCAGTATTAGCATACTATAACAAGTAGTGTATTCGGGTGCTTGTTTACCTAAAGATCTTGCTTTTTACCGTCCACGAAGAAACAATATGGACATTCCTTCATGACATGCCTATTTAAATACTTTATATATATACATTATACACGTGTTTCTATTTATTTATTTATACATTTTAGGAAAATTCACGGACAAATAATAGTAATTATGGTATACTTAAATATGAGTAATCCAATGCCATTTACGAATTTCCACCAACATGAAACAATATAAAGTGCTTAGCAAACCAAAAAGAGATTATAGGAGAATACAAAGAACACAGTCAATAAATTTAAGAAATAAAAATAAAAATACTAATAATATACAATTAAACCTTAGAGGATGGAAAAAAAGCCTAAGCATTAAACGAACAAACAAGTGTATTCACTATGGGAACACAAGTACAATATTTTGTTTTTGAGACAATAATTTCTAGCAAATACTTAATAGGAAATACTAATTTATTGTTAATGTACTGAAATTTCAATAAATAATACGCATATTCGAATAAAATCAATTCCGAGAAGTTCCGGGATTTGTAAACAAGAACGTCCACGTTACGCTTTAGTTCAGCTAAATTTGTTCCAATCTCTTCTTCATCTTCATTCTTCATCTTCGGTGTTGCTCTTACTTCACCTGACCTTATTTGAAGTTTCGTATTTCGACCTCTCCTACGTAAAATATCGTATGTCGAAATTGCCAAGTTTAAAGTTCTGAATTCACTGATATAAGCATAACACGTGACTTTAGCATTTCTCAGTTTTATTTATCAAAGCTCGTTACTCACATAGAGTATTATAAAATCCAAGATATCGGTTAGATGATCTATTAGATTATCACTCTATGTGAGTAATGAGCTTTGCCGAATAAAACGTAGACCTTTAAAACGCTCCCCTGTAAACTTGGCAATTTCGACATACGATACTTTACGTCTGAGGAGGCGATTTGTCATAATACATTAAACAATTAACACGATAACTTTTTTTATAATATCACGTGAGGGGACAAGTCGTGCGCCTGGTGGTAAGCTACACGCCTATCCATAACAGTTGCAGTGCCATTCATAGCTTTAGATCGCAAAGATCTGAGGGGCACTGCCACTGCGCCCGTCACCCTGAGACATAAGTTGATAAGTCCCATGTGCCTGTAATTTCACCAGCACACTTACCCTTCAAAACTTGAACACAGGAATACTGACATTACTGCTTGGCAGTAGAAATAGGTAAGGTGGCAGTACTTCTCTGGACGAACTCCTTCTCGAGGAGCTCCACTGCCACTAAACTAGGTTTTTACCGTCCACGAAAAAATAACGAAATAGTAAAAGGGAACGTCCACGTTATTCTTTAGTTTAGCTAAATCAACTCCCTCCCCTCCGAACGTTGATTATGAGTGAAGGCTTCAAGGCCCTCTTCCCCCGGTGTTGTTCTTACCCCACCTGACCATATTTGAAGTTTCGTGTTTGTCATAAATACACCAATCAATAACATGATAACTTATAGACGAGGTAACAATATTCGAAAACATTAATGGCTTCCGAGTTCTCCCCATGTTTTCACTACATCTGCAAACACTATGCGGCCAAGCTCGTCAAATTAACTTATTTGTATATTTATTCTTTCTATTGCCGTGAGTACAAAGGTAATGTTTTCAGGGACTCGATATGCAAGTTGCTACAGAAATACCCGAAAGGTACAGGCGACAAAATGGATGAGTGCCAGATTGAGGGATTACATCGTGCAGTCGCCAAACGTCGCGTATCCCATCACAGCAGCGAGCATGATTTTGATGTAAGAAACTTTTTAGAATATCGGGCGTATCGATGACGTCACCGAATACAGTCATATTTTTGGTTATTGTCATCAGCAATGGTCTGAAAAAGGGGTTCCATATATATATTTTTTATGTTCCTACTTTCTAGTTACAAATCCAAGAGTGGGCTAACATCACGTCGTTTCTCTGCGCGTTAGGCGGCGTTTGCCTACAACGACGACCTTCCACTATGTGGTCACATCTACATGGACACGGTAAGTTATACATCGTTTTTTTTCTCTTAATTTTAACAAGGCCTTTAATACTGTAGCAGTACAGTTACCTGTGAAAGAGCTAGTCCAGCAACTTATTTCGGCGGTCAAGCAGTAATGCGAGCATTTATGCATTCCCCGAATTCATGTTTCCTCTTTCTTACATGTTTAAATGTGCGAAAGAGTGAAAGAAGTATGAGATATGTCGACCCCTCCGACGTAAAGTATCGTATGTTGAAATTGCCAAGTTTACAGAGGAGCCTTTTAAATATTCTGAATTCACTGAAATAAGCACAACACGTGACTTTAGCATTTCTCAGTTTTATTCGACAAAGCTCGCTACTCACATAGAGTATTATAAAATCCTAGATATCGGTTAGAGGATGTGTTAGATGATCACTCTATTTGAGTAACGAGCTTTGCCGAATAAAACGGAGATCTTTAAAACGCTTCGACATACGATACTTTACGTAGGAGGGGTCGATGTTATAGGTATGTATTAGTATCAGTAGAAATATCAGTAGCTCCTTGTGAAAGAGTTCGTCCAGGGAAGTACTGCCAACTTACCTATTTCTGCCGCCAAGTAGGAATATGAGTACTTTTTGAAGGGTAAGGGTGCAGATTCAGATTCAGATTGCAGGCGCATGGGACTTGTAAACTTATGTCTCAGGGTGACGGGCGCAGTGGCAGTACCCCACAGATCTTTGTCATTGAAAACTCTGAGTGACACTGCAATTGTTGTGGACAGTTCGTACCGACACTTGGTACCATTAAAAAAATGAGACTATGAACAATAAATATAAAAATACAATCAAGCCCCTATTGCTTAGCATAAAAAGTTCAAAGCAACTTATTTAGGTGTGCATGCTCCATCCTCGACCTCATCGTCACTTTCCGTCATGTGAGATGGAGGTCAAATACGGACTTACTTTTTATATACAAAATATTCTTATACAAAAAAAAAACTTATTGTTTTCAGACTCGAGGAAATACAACGTTCTCGCAAACAGTTCACAAGAAGTACAATATTGTCCAGTCACACAGTAAGTTACTTCAGTTCATATATAAAATTTCACAACTATATAAATAAGAGTTGGACGTGAAATAGCAATCCAATTAACATCTGTTGCGGTGAAGAAGGTTCTAAAATCTCTCACTAGACGTCACTAGCGGTTCAGAATGCCGAAAAATCCACTACAAAGATCTTTGTAACGAAAAGAAAACACGTAGGAGAATTTCGGCAACTCGATAACTTGACCCGTAGCTCAGTTGGTAAGAGCAATATGCGGTGCAGTTACACCAATTTGAAGAAAATATTCCACCTCTCAGGGTGGCAAAATAGGCGATTAAACCGGTTCGCGCATTTTCCGGTAATCGATTTAAATAAAACTTGGCAAATTGAGCTTTTGAAGTCGGTTTTTTTAGTACTCTGTACAGAGATTATTATATGTCTGTTTAAAGTCAAATTTTATTTGACAAATTGTCAAAATATTACATCATAGTTTCCCAAAGTGGTCCCTACCGCTTCCCAGTGGGCCCTGAAGAGTCCTAGGGGGCAGTAACGGCATCGGAAGCAATTGTTGATGCTGTCCAAGGGGTGCTACGGCATTTGAAAAAAAGAAAAACCTGAATTATCTTTATATACTACACTACATATATGTATATATAATTTTTTCCTTGTAATTTTATTTGTGTTAAGTTAATATAAAAATACGTGTTTTCTTTTATTTTTGTAGTGTTGGGCGTTGAAATTTTTTTATCTTTTTAAATTTTTATTGAATTGATATTAAATTATTTTTTTTATGTGAAATTACTCAACTAGTTTGTTATAATTATTAATACAAAGATTCTCTCAGAAAAAATCCTTCGATCCGGCCCGATTCGAACCAACGTCTTCTAGCGTACCGTGTCAGACGCTATACCAATTAAGCCACGGAACGAACCAGCGAACCTCACGAATTTTCTATATGCTTATTGTCGTATCTTTGTGAGAAATCTATGAAAGTATTTCGTCTCCCAGTTAGATACTTTTACAGCTACCAGTCCCGGCTAGAGATGTCGCTATTCACTGTATTTTAAATTTTTATTGAATTGATATTCAATTATTTTTTATGTGAACTTATTCCACTAGTTTGTTACAATTATTAATACAAAGATCGAACACTCGGAAAAAAATCCTTGGATCCGGCCGGATTCGAACCGACGTCTTCTAGCGTACAGTGCCAGATGCTACACCAACTAGGCAATCACGAATTTTTCTATATGCTTGTTGTCGTATCTTTGTATTTGGTTTATCTTGCCTAAATGGGCGGTGAGACAAAAAATTCGGGATGCTATGTATTACATTTTTTTCAATGAAGTAAAAAGTTCGTATTGACTCAAACAGCTATGCAGCAATTATTTCCAGGCAACTTTAGGATTTAGGATCTTCTACGTAATACCTACTATGTTGTTCACAGGTTCATTGGCCAGCTTCTTCGTTTACTTCTCTGTAGCAACGAGCGTTTCGGTCAACAAATACAAACACACGTCAAGGAGCTAGTTGGCAACGAGATGTCGCCAGCGTTATATCCGATACTTTTCGACCAGATCAAAGCTATTATTGATAAGTTCTTTGATCAGCAACAACAGGTGGGGGAAATTATGAAACGTAGATAAATAGTGTAACTTAGATCTGTGTAAATAGTGTACGATATATTGATAATGACTTGGGGGTCGATTCAGAACCTTACGATAACTCAGTTGTCGCACGATTTCTTTTAATTTTTATTCACAACACCCGTATCGAACGTCAAACTGTCTTATTCGAAACCGAACCTAAATGACGTCACACCCGTACGATTACTCGAATTTCTCGACCGGCAAAGGCTACAAACGTTATTCAGAACACACGTTATTCACAGTTATCGAATGAAAGTTACCGAACGGCCTATTGTTTACAAAGCAAAATTGTAGTCTGGAAATACCTTATTATTTTAAATCAAGTCTGGATTTTATTCAATTTTATTAATTTATTTTAATACAAGACTAATGCATTCCTATATTTTAGCGCATTAAAGTCTTAAAAATGTATAGGATTTTAATTTTTCTTATATTTCACTAATTCCGTAAACGCTGTTGGATAACGATATCGTATCCGAATCGAATGTTCTGAATAGCTCGAAAAGCGCCCTTCGATTCGAGAACGATATCCAATCGACGGATTCGGTTAAAATATCGAAGAGTTCCGAGTCGGGGTCCAGAGTAGATTGTAGTAAAACGGTTAAATAGTGACTAGTGTACATAGTAACCTGGGTAGATAGTGACAAGGGTAAACGTGATTAGGTCAACAATCAATGTAAACGGTGACCAGGATATCGACTGAACTGGCAACCGGTACTATCTATCAATTTTGATAATTTTACGGGATGAAGAAAATAATTGTTTGCGTCAAATGACTATATCGCCCCTCCTACGTGCAGTATATAATAATAATAATAACTTGTACGTAATAAATATACAATCATATATAAATATATAATAAATATATATAAACAAACGATAACCTAATACATTCATACATACAACCTAACATAGTCATATACATAGTACGTATAGTATATATACAGAATATGATGATGGTTATCATGGTGACAACAATTTAAAAGATGCTCATGGCAATTATCTATATCAAGTACTCTACAATTATTTTTACTTTTTTAATTTTTTTTCTATGACAGTTAATACAAAAAATACATGTTTTCAATTATATTTTGTAGTGGTGGGCGTTAAATTTTTTTTATCTTGCCTAAATGGGCGGTGAGACAACAAGTTCCCAAACCCATGGTATAAACATTGTGCAGGGTAGATAGAGACTGGAGTAGACAGTGCACAGGGTGGATAGTGACTAGGATAAACTGTGACTAGAGTCATGACGAATGCCCAGCACGGAGGTCTACAGCTACTAATATTACTATTTATTTCTTGTTCACGACTAACACAGTAAATAATGTAGATAGTGACCAGGGTAAATTGTGATTAAAGTAGACAGTAACTAAGCTAGATATTATAGAGTAGACAGTAACTGGGGTAGACATGACAAGGGTAAATAGTGATCAGGGTAAATAGTCACTAAGATGTATAGTAACCTGGATTCATAATAAGAGAAAATCACTGGAATGACCTCTAACTGGCCGCTTAATAAGGCGAACTTATTCGGTAGCAAACTCCCTATAGAGTTTCTGCAGTAACTTTGCAATTTAAGGTGATATGTAAACTGAATAAGAAACTTGATAGTTATCTATGAAATAATCGCATGTTTCAGGTAATGTTAACAGATATAAACACTCAATTCGTGGAGCATACCATCTTTATAATGAAAAGCATACTCGATAACAAGAAGAGTGTATCGCCTTCTGAACATTTGAGTACTACATCTATTGAAGGACTTATGTTGGCCATAGTTAGGTGAGCACCTACTAAATGTTTTAAAGTATCTTCTGGGTGAGCATGAACCATCGTTATCAATCTCCATTGCCTATTTAGTGAAAATATTTACACACGTGACCCTACTTTCAATTAAAAAATAGTACAAAGAAAATCACAAAACAAAACGCACTTTGCTCATGTTGTTTTCAGGCAGTGTTATGACAGAAAGCTCAGTTTGCTTACTGTGTTTTTCTTTTAGCTCATTTCAATGAGCTCACCAAGCTCATTTAGATTTAAAAAATTTTCTTAATACAATAAATTTATACAGATTAAATTACGTAGACACAAAGCTCATTTTGTTTACTGTGTTTGTATGAGTTAGCGGGCAGAGTAAAGAAAATAAATACTTATTTTTACTTTGTTCATTTGTACCGATCATGCATGTTTCTTCTGTTTTTCTTATAATTTTACTACATTTTGATGAGCCTAAAAAAGCTCAGTTTGCTTACCGTTTTGTGGTTTTACTAAAAAAATCACTTTGTTTTTTAGTTATTCCACAACCCAATGAGTTTACGAAGAGAGCTCACTTCGCTCACAATGTTTAGCTCACTTTGTTCACAATGTTTTTTCTTTATAGATACGTCCGCCATTTGGACATGACTGTCTTATCCGTACATATAAAAACGAAACTGTGCCAAGTCGTGGAAGCTATGATGAGGAGGCGAGACGATCTGGCCTTCAGACAGGTAAGGATTAATTTAAGTAAATGGGCCTGGCATTCACACCAAACCTTTCCGCTAACAGTCTAACTTGAAAGTTAGTTTGAAGGTCAATTTCAATCAGAAACATTTCTCAAAACAATTCTGAACTTTAGAGCTGGGTAAGCTGAGACTGAGTTTGGAAAATACATAAATGGAACTTTGCACAAACCTTCAGGATGGCTATAAGTTCTCGGCAGCCGCCGCTTTTCTCGACCTTTGAAGCTATAGTGAACATCACGTATTATTGTAATTACCGAAAATAAATCCAGTCTAAATTTCAAATCTTCGTTTAATATTCCAACCCCGTGGCAATCTAACGAGGCAGCAAGCCATTACCAGCATTCCCACTGAGTGTTCTTGGTAGTGCTTTCGGAGTTATAGTTACTTTATACATAGTACACATTCTATTGCGTAGCCCGGTCATCATAACAATAATAACGTATCCAGACAACTATTCTACTTACCTGGCCTCGAACTTGAGAATTTCCTATACTATGAGTACCAGAGCAACGTGGCACTACCCAGAACACCTAGTTCAGATCCAATTTAGAAAAGGTCATTCCCCAAAATAATTGTATCCCAAATCGGACCCTCTTCTAGCATCCACAGTGCTAACCCTTGTGCCATCCAGGTCATCAAATGTAATGTGATTGTCTGGCACACATCTGTATTTTATTGATGCAACACACTATATATACATGCAATTTAACATCTGTACACGCAATATCAAACCCATTTACATGTATTATAACTGAAGTTGTGTTTTATAGGAAATGAAATTCCGCAACAAAATGGTAGAGTACGTGACTGATTGGGTTTTGGGAACTAGTCATCAAATTGCGCCGCCCTTACGGTCGGACTCCACGTCTATAACAAGGTGCGTTTTGACCATACCGTAATAGAGGAATTGGCATCTGGCTAAAGTACAAAATTGTTACATTTTCAATTGCGAGTAGGTGACGAGGTGCGTGACCACCTGGGCGCTCTCAAGCCCCCTTCTTACCTGATAATACGAGTTTCAGCTGCGCTTTTGGCAGGCGCAGTCAAGTGCTAAATATCCCTTAAAATAGTCATCACTGGTCTGCTCTTAAGGTGCCTACAAATTTGCTGGTTTTTGACGATGATCATACTAAACGAATAAATTTGGTATCGATTGACGACCAACATCGTATTTTTGTCGATCAACATCCGCGACCAGATAAAATCGAGTAAATATTGTAAGAAGCAGACGATTGGTATAGTATTTTTATGGAGATCGACACATGTCGATCATCATAACCTGTTTTATTTTTTCACTACAAATCTAAATAAAACGAAAACATGCCCGTTCCCATCAAATATGTTTTTCAAAAAGGCGGCCGCCCGTCAGTGTCTCGTTAACTTCTTTTTTATTTTTACTTCGATTAACTTAATTATTATTTATTTATTAACTTAATTCGAGAAATTTGAAACCATAGTAGCTTATGTGACCGTTATATAATGAAAATACGAGTGAAACATCACATGAGTGTTTTAATGCCTAATTATGTACAGTTACATACACTGGTATGTCTATACACATATTATAAGCTCTCTATGATGTGTTCAGGAACCGCACGTTACGACTGGCAAAATGGCGACCAAATAAAAACTTTTCTCACGCATGTCACACAACCGTAGAATTAAAATAGAATTTAATTCAAAGACAAACTAGAGACAGCCCCAACTATCATATCGTTCGATATCAAGTAATGTGTGAAATTTGTGAAAATTGTTGGGCATTGACATTTCATTTCGAATAAAACTTCATCTCGACTGACATTAGAATTGAGGTCGAATCAAATAGTTTTGTTTTTCAGAGATGTTCGAGATTTTAATGTAATAATAAAATTGAATTTGATGTTATTATTAAGCAATAATAACATTTTCACAGATGAGAAATTTGTTCTAACAAAACAGTTTATCTTTATGCTGATCGTAATTTGCGGTTTTTGAACACGTCATGGAGGGCTTATGTTATGTGTCTAGATAAAATTATTAATGAAACAATTTCAAAGTAATTTTCTAACAAAATGAAATTAAATTACAAATCTGTTATAAATATATATTTATAGGAGGATATTAACAGTTTGCTTACCAGATACCTAGTATGCTGCAGGGAGCTCGACCAGGCTTGCATGGAGGCAGTAGCAGCGTTACTCAAGGGATTACCGCTGCAGCCCGAAGAATCTGACCGAGGGGATCTTATGGAAGCCAAAAGTCAACTGTTTCTTAAGTGAGTACATTTTGAAATAACTTCAAATATAATACCGGTCTCAAATATAAGATCGGTCTCAAATATAACACCAGTCTCAAATGTAAGACCGGTCTAAAATTTAAGACCGGTCTCGAATATAATACTAGCCTTAAATATAGAATCGGCGTGTATAGTGATGAAATTACAGGCACATGGGACTTGTCAACTTATGTCTCAGGGTGACGGGCGCAGTGGCAGTGCCCTTCAGAACTTTGAGATTTCAAGCACTGAATGGCATTGCATCTATTATGCACAGGCGTGTCGCTTACCGCCAGGCGTACGACTTGTTCATCCCTTCAATTGGTATTATAAAAAAAAGTGTTGCCACGGCATTCGTTTATACATAGAAGTATTTAAAAAAACTTAAAGTAGTTGACTATTTACAAATTAAATGTTTTACTGTTAATGTTACCTCTATTTATTGGCTACTCTATGGGTCGTATTCCAGAACTCTACTCAATGCTCAAGTCAGGACTTGAGCAGACTTGAGTACGATTTCCAAGCACTGGAAATACGACCCTAATGGCAAGGACTTGAGTATGATTTCTAGTGCTTTGAATCATACTCAAGTCCTGACTTGAGCATTGAGTAGAATTCTAGAATACGACTCTATGTGTCAACTAGTTAGGTACAATTTTGTTATTACTACTTACAATAATTATTATCACAAAAGTACAGGGATGCATTTAAAGGAAGTACGCATTTTAAATATAGTAAATTATGTATAAATAAATATATGTTCATGTGAGTGGCGACTCAGGTAGCATAAAGTAGCCTTTTTAATTCGGCTTTGTACTTATTAAGGTTATACGAATAAATGTCGCTGTCAAATTTTAACGCCGAGTTGTTATAGTTTTTTACCATTGTGTTGATGGGGGAATTTAGACCTAGATTACTACGAGAAGCGGTGACATAAAACAGGGAGTATTTGCTTTTTCGTGGCAGTTTGAAAGGGACATTAAATTTAAACAGTTAAATATAAATTGAAATAGAAATGTTCGGTCGAGGAATTGCCTTCGTTGTTTTAGACTTTACATATTGAAATAATTTAAATAGTCGTTATAAGAATGAAGTTGTTTAGCTTTCTCGCAACGGTAAGCCAAATAATACGCTTTTGAACCCGTTCAATAATATTCGAATGAATCTCATAGAAAGGTGATCATACTACACTTCCATGCTAAAGACCAGATCTGACTAGGCTGTTGAAAATACTTATTTTAGTAGATGTTTATTTAAAATCTTTGCAATTTCTAAATACTATTTTTAATTATCACTAGAATTAGTTACAAAAATAGCTATTTAGTACTCGTCGCGACATCTGGTGTACTAATAAGTACAAGTAAGTTGTCTTCTTGAGTGATTGGTCCATGGTTATGATAAGGTGAGTACTATATTTATAAGTAGATATAGCATTGCAAAAAAGATATACATGACGTATGTATTGTGTCTATATTCCAGGTACTTCACTCTCTTCATGAACCTCCTAAATGACTTGCACGAAGTGGAAATGGCGGAAGGGCCAGGCAGACTAGAAACGCTGCGCCAAGCTACCATACAGGCTATGTCCAATCTGCTCAGCGCCAATATTGACTCTGGACTCATGCATAGTATTGGTAAGTTTTAAGCTTGTATTTTTTTTTATTGGTCACAAAACCAGTTTACTAGCATTCGAGCGTCTTTGAGAGTTCGTCTATTGAAGTACTGCCATCGTACCTACATCAGACGAACAAGTCCTGCGCCTGATGGTAAGCTAATTCCTGTCCATAACAATTGCAGTGCCACTGGGAGCTTTAAATCGCAAAGATCTAAAGGGCACTGCCACTGAGTTCGTCACTCTGAGACATAAAGTGACAAGTCCCATGTGCCTATAATATCACCAGCACCTTTATTACCCTTCAAAATCGGAACACAGAATGGTGACATTCCTGCTTGGCGGCAGAAATAGGTAAGGTGGCTACTGTTCTAAGGTTACATTTCTTATATCATCTTTCTTAGTCAGCTGTAAATCGTCACCACCACCTCCATCCACAGATCTGGGTTACCACCGCGATCTACAGACAAGAGCAGCATTCATGGAAGTGCTAACCAAGATACTACAGCAAGGAACCGAGTTCGACACACTTGCAGAGACCGTATTGGCTGATCGATTCGAACAGCTCGTGCAGTTGGTCACTATGATCTCAGACAAGGTAGGTATAATTCGACCCCTCCTACGTAAAGTATCGTATGTCGAAATTGCCAAGTTTACAGGGGAGCGTTTTAAAGTTCTCCGTTTTATTCGGCAATGCTCACATAGAGTGATCATCTAACCGATATCTAGGATTTTATAATGCTCTATGTGAGTAACCGGCTTTGCCGAATAAAACTGAGAAATGTTAAAGTTACGTGTTATGCTTATTTCGGTGATTTCAGAACTTGAAAAGGCTCCCCTCTAGACTCGGCAGTTTCGACATACGATACTTTACGTAGGAGAGGTCGAATTAAGGGCGTCTATTATTATTAATATTGATTTTGATAGAACTGTTATAATTATTAATACAAAGACCGAACTCCCAGAAAAAAATTCCTTCGATCCGGCCGGATTCTAACCGTCTTCTAGAATACCGTGTCAGACGCTGTACCAAATAAGCCACGGAACGAAGCAGCGGACCTCACGAATTTTCTATGTGCTTGCGTCGTATCTTTGTATTTGGTTTTTCAACGACTTTTTAGCCGTAGCGCCATCTATGAGAAATCCATGATATTTTCTCATCCAGTTAGATACCTTTACAGCTACCAGGCCCGGCTAGAGATGTCGCTATTAATTGTATTGAAATTTTTTATTGAATTGATATTCAATTATTTTTATGAGAAATTACTCCACTAGTTTGTTGTAATTAATAATGAAAAGATCGAACACTCAGAAAAAAATTCTTTGACCCGGCCGGATTCGAACCGTTATAACAAACTAGTGGAGTAATTTCACATAAAAATAATTGAATATCAATTTAATAAAAAATAAGATAGAACTGTTAAGCAAGATGCATTAGCCCAAGAAATACTCTGCTATATTTTTGTTATTGCCTACAGGGAGAACTGCCTATCGCCATGGCACTGGCCAACGTGGTGAGCACATCACAAATGGACGAACTGGCTCGCGTGTTCGTCACTCTTTTCGATGCCAAACATTTGCTCGCTCCACTGCTATGGAACATATTTTATAGAGAAGTTGAGGTATGTACAATTTATCATTATTCTAAAATTGGAAGATTTTTTTACATACAAATACGAGTAGGTATACGTGAACTTTATATAAATGCACTTAAGAGTTACTCAGCTCGAATTCAATTTTTTTCCATTCTGTTCATTTTGCTAGAGTCGTTCGGCAGGGACACTGGCTTTATTTTAGAATTTCTTTTTTTACAAACGAAATTAAAACCGTTTGAAAAATGTCAGTGTGAGGCAAGCAGGGCTACGTTTCGCATTCCTATATACATTCTAAACAAGAAGCTGTCTGTTTTGTCTAAATTAAGACTTCAGATGTTATTTTCTGTTATTTGAAGTGCTTCCGTGGCCGAACGGTCACCGTGCCGGACTGCCACGCAGAGGTCCCAGGTTCGATTCCCGGGCCGGGAGGAATATTTGTATGGCCATTTATTTCTCTCGTGAGTTTGGGTGTAATTTGTGGTTGTCTATGTGTGTGACCATGGTACCCGCGACACAGGGTTTCCCTAGTGCGGGGCTATATTGAGTGTGTGCGTTCTTAAAAAAAAAAGATTAGATACTTAGATACTAGATACTAGATGTTGTTCTTCATTCTCCAGGTTTCAGACTGCATGCAAACTCTCTTCCGTGGTAACAGCTTGGGCAGCAAAATAATGGCGTTTTGCTTCAAAATATACGGTTACGGATATCTGCAGTCCTTGCTGGAGCCTTTAATATCTGCGCTGCTAGACCAGGCTCAGGAGCAACCGGAGCTGAGTTTTGAAGTCGACCCTGCTAGGTAAACAATTGAAACTAAATCTAATAAAATCTCCGATTAGAAGGTTCTAAATCTCACTAGATGTCACTAGCGGCGCAGAATGCCGATACCCAGTACTAGGAATGCACGATTATTTGCCTTGAATCGATTTTTTGGATTGTAATGGATCAAGTGCCTCTGAATCGATCCACAGATCGGATCGTATGCTCTTATAGACAAGCACAAGCACGTAGAAAAATTCGTGAGGTCCGCTGGTTCTTTCCGTGGCTTAGTTGGCATCGTGTCTGGCACGGTTTGCTAGGAGACGTCGGTTCGAATCCGGCTGGATCAAAGGAATTATTCTAAGTGTTCGATCTTTGTATTAATAATAAATTGAATCATTGGGTGTAACAAGGGCGTATCACGTAAAAGTGAGATTCGAGAAAATTGAAAATAAGGTTTTAATGTCTTGTATCTTTTTAATATTTATAACATGACTCTTATGTACTTTAATATTTATTTGTCTTGTGATTTAAGATTCAGGTATTATTATTATTTTAAAACAATTAGTAAACATTTAGAATTTTCTTTTTCATTAGGTTATCCGCCCTTATTGCCCCAAACCGGTAAATTAATGGGGCGTTCGTTATATTATTGGTTTTTAAGGAAATAAGTTGTGAAACAATGTTATTTCACGTTGAAAAAAATTAAACGTATTTTTAAGCATTCATTGAATTCGATGGATTTAAATGAGTCGACAGTATTATCTTCAGCAGGTCTCATTGGCCTGCTAGATGCTCCATGTTGAGGATGAATTCGCTAGTTTCAGACATTTTTTTACATCAAAATAAGTTTTTACAAACTGCAGGTGGTAACGTGCCTGAAACTCAAACGCACATTTTTAATCTATGCTACAAAGGCGGAGTACCACCTTCTGAATGAATGAAAATTACGCCATCTAGAAGGGAGATCGAAATGAGTATTTGTCACAAGGTACTAGATAATGTTTTACACGTTTTGATGTAATAACATCAAAACGGACTTTGGTTGCCGAACGCCCTTGTTGTTCCCAATGCTTCAATTATAAGAATATATTACATAGCATTAGCAGCTGTAGAGCTCCTTGTGAAAGAGTTCGTCCAGGGAAGTTCTGCCACCTTACCTATTTCTGCCGCCAAGCAGTCATTTTAGCATTACTGCGTTCCGGTTTGGAAGAGTAAGGGTGCTGGTGAAATTACAGGCATATGGAACTTGTCAACTTATGTCCCAGGGTGATGGGCGCAGTGGCAGTGCCCCTCAGATCTTTGCGATTTATAGCTCTGAGTGGCACTGCAACTGTTATGGACAGGCGTGTAGTTTACCATCAGGCGCACGACTTGTTGGTCCCGTCACTTGTATAATAATAAAAAAAGTTTTAATGACAATTAGTATTAGTGTAGTACAGTAGGTTACTCGAAGTACTTATTCTGCGTAGACGAAATCGCGGGCACCAGCTAGTTTCAAATATATTCACATTATTTTGACGACCACCGTGCTCGAGTGACTTGCATACCGGACTTCATGGTATCGCCATTTCTGAGGTCCCGGGTTCAATTCCGGGCCGGGTCAATGTGGAAAACTAACTTTTCTGGTACCGTCGTTGTTTCCGATTTCCATAACACAACAGTTTAGTTACTTAAGTGCAGGCTACACCGCAAACGAAGCCAGCTCACTTAGCTAAGCTAAGAAAATACGTATAGTATAAGGGTATGGTTACGTGCGGGGATGAAAGGTGGTAGAAGGGCGGCATATTTTACATAGCTAGCGGGATCATTGGGTAAGTTTAGTTAGCTCGGTTAGCCTATTTCGCGGCATCGAGTACATAACCAGAAATAGAGACTTACTACTATAGAGAGAAAACTATTTTGCCAAATCATTATGGTGACAACTGTGCTCCGATTGGCCAGCTCGAATTCGAAACAATTGGCTGGTGTCGTGAATTGTTTCACTTTAAATCGACCAGTTAAACTTGAGTTTTGTTGTAATGGACGAAAATTGAAAAATTACATATTTAATATTTAATTACCGATGAAATGTGATTCCGTTTGTTTTGTAATTAGATGTTTGGCTGTTCTTCCCGCACTACCGAATGGAACAGCCTCCCATAGTGAGAGACCTTTATTACAATAAATACAGAATATTTTTGGAATATACGTAGACGTACACACAGGTCAGTTGTTGGCGCTGTACTATTTCAGCTTTTAATGTGTGATTTTAGTGCAAACGAGAGTTGATATTTAAAAGGGATATAAGGCCCATTTGCCTGATAAGTTGCCAGGGATGAATGACCCTTATTTCGTCTCTATTTCTGGTTATATACTCGATGCTTAGTGAACTTCGTTCGCGGTGTAGCCTGCGCATTACTTTAGGATAAGCGCAACGTATATGATGTTCATTGGAATCGAAGGGCCCACCCGCAACTATAGACGCCCTTGCGACTAAATATCTCGTGTAATTTTTCACTAAACATGCAATATAGGCTATTTTACATTGTTGTATTCTTTCTGTATTAGATTGGACCCAAATCAGGACATAGAAGTGAACAGATCGAATTTAATCGACTTGACAAAAGAGGTGTTTGATCGAATCGTGAATTCGGCTGACAAGTTCCCGCCGCAATTAAGGAGCATGTGCCATTGTTTGTATCAGGTAAATGTTATATTAATGGTACAACGGCGTGAAAATATTGTGATGAAAACCTTCACGTCGAAGAAGGTTCATTATTCTTGGAAAACGTGTGAAGTCCCGAAACCCTATTGGGCCAGAGTGGCGGATTATGGTCTAAAACCCGTGTACAGCAGTGGGACACATAAATGAGTCGATGATGGTGATGATATGTAGTGTGAAACTACCCCGCCTATCATCTTCATCTCTCTCATTATACGTTTCCTAGGAAACGCCCTTACTTTTCTTGATTCCTGAAAGAGTTCCAACTAATATTTACTATTGTGTTAATGCCTAAATTACTTAAATTTCCTTTTAAAAACTATTTTTCGCACTTTCCAACTCCGTGTATCCAACTTCTTTCTTTTTCTTGTTCATCTCCACACCTCACCTCACCGAGTGGTGAGAAAAGAATCTGAGAGTGTTATGTAGGAGAGTAGAGTTACTTTCGTATATAACTCTCAGATCCTTTTTGATATAAACGTATTGTTATACTTTACCATTCTACATCCTTTGATTTCGTACCTTCCCAAGCGCTCTAATCTGACCTCTTGGCTTCCACCCCGACGAATGATGAATATAATTCATTCCATTTAACTTTTTAATTGCCTCCGTGGCCGAACGGTTACCATGCCGGACTGCCATGCAGAGGTCCCAGGTTCGATTCCCAGGTCGGGAGAAATATTTGTATGGCCTACATTTATTTCTCTCGTGAGTTTGGGTGTAATTTGTGGTTGTCTACGTGTGTGTCCATGGCACCCGCGACACAGGGTGTCCCTAGTGCGGGGCTATGTTGAGTGTGTGCGTTATTATTATTATTATTAAAAACATTTATTTATTATGTGGATTTTTCAGGTACTAAGCAAAAGATTCGCACAGTTTCCGCAAACAAGCGTCGGCGCTGTTGGCACTGTGCTCTTTCTGAGATTTATAAACCCCGCTATTGGTAAGTCATATTCATTAATTTACATAATTTAAACTACTACACGAAAATAATGTAGTTTAAACAATTGAATAACTTCATTTAATCAATGTCATGAAAATAACGTAATTTAAACAATTAGAATAACATAATTTAATCATTTATACGAAAATAACGTAATTTAAACAATGACGATGATTTAATAATTTATTCGAAAATAACATTAATTTAATCTTAGAATGACCCAATTTAATCAATTGGTCGAAAATAACTAATAAACAAAATAAAAATATCGAGTTCCCTAAGTAGTAGTAGTTTATTTAACTTTTGACTGCTCGAATTCTAATCAATTAGTGGTATCCTAATGCGTTTCCGATTCGAGTTTCTTATAACAATCGATTTTATACATAAACATGTTAAAATCGTTAATATAAGCGGGTTCAAAAAAGAAGATATTGTCTGATTGGGATCGTGATGCTGCATTTGACCATTTGTGTACTCAAGAATTAATAATTAATGTTAATGAGGATTCAAGTGATTCCCGTTCATATTACGGAGAAGAATCCGACGATTGATTACAATAAACAATAACAATTTGTTATAATTATTTATTATTTATTTCATTTCGTTATAATTTATTAGACAAGTATCAAAACTTATCGACTTGATTAATCTTCGTTACATAATCTGTTGGCTCGATAAATATCGGAGCTAAAGAGCACGTCGCTTCACTAAAATTAAAAATAACAGAGTCCAGGGTGTATTGCATTTTTTTGTCTATGGTTGTCAATAATTACGAAACTTCGGGGGCATCCATATGTCAAAAGTTAAATAAATGGCTGGACGAAATATAAGCCGTGTAACAAAATACAACTACGCACTAATTTATTTCTTCATTTTCTTTGCAGTATCACCTCAAGAAATGGGTATAGTCAACCGTCCAGTACCACCACAAGTGAAAAGAGGCCTAATGCTTATGTCAAAAATACTACAGAACATTGCAAATCACGTGGAGTTTTCTAAAGAACAACACATGCTACCTTTCAATGATTTTTTGAGATCACATTTCGAAGCAGGACGCAAGTAAGAGCGGTTACACACGGTTATTTTTAGCGGCGATGCAAACGCGATGCAGTCGCTAATCGTCTAACTTTACGACTGGTTCGTCGTGTCACTTGATATTGTAAAAAAAGTTTCAATCAAAATTAGTAACAAGTTTCAATTAAAAAAAAAACTTTGATTCTTTAAAACTGACTCACTCACATAGAGTTTCCAGTTCACAGTAAATATGGGAATATTTAACTTCTCCCTGCTTCTTAATATCTATATGTGTCTTGGTATGTATTTATTTATAATTGATACAAATCATTGACTTACAAATAAATGGACGACGGTTCTAATACAAAAACCACGAAATAAAAGTCCCAAGTCAACCTATTTAAACGTAGTGACATGTAAAGGAATACGAAACAGCTAAAACGTTGAATTTAAATTGTAATGTCATCGCAGTACTGTCTAATATTGCTTGCTTCGCTGTCAGTCGAACAAACGAAGACTAAAGCGTGAATGACGCTCTGTATACGATTTTAACGCCCTATAAGTTCGGACACTTTTTAGCGCGGACCCGACGTCCATATAATTGTAAGTCAATGACACAAATAATAAATTTAAGAATCACAGCTCGACTTCATCCGACATCTATACTCAATTGACCTGCCCTAGCCATCGGCTACAATCGTGCGCCAATCTCAAACCTCCACGGCCCGCCATTTTGACCTGTATTTTTTCTTTCAGATTCTTCATCCAAATAGCATCAGACTGTGAGAGCGTAGATCAAACATCGCACAACCTGTCTTTTATAAGCGACGCAAATGTCGTAGCTTTACACAGGTTGTTATGGAACCATCAGGAGAGGATAGGGGATTATCTGTCTTGTAGCAGAGACCATAAGGCCGTTGGGCGACGGCCTTTTGATAAGGCGAGTATTTTTTTATTTATTTATACATGGTTCAAACAGTGCTACCCCAGCCCGGTGGACAAATAATTGCTTCGCGATTCTTCAATTACAACACCAATGCTACCGTTAGTATAGCTTATAGCTGGTGCAGACGGCAGAAACGCGCCTGGCCAATCAGAGCAAACGTTCAAAGATTACGGAACCTCGCGAGATAGTTATTGATACGAAGATCGAACATTAAAAAAATTCCTTCGATCCGATTGGATTCGAACCAGCGCCTTTAGCATCCCGCGCTTGACGCTCTCCCAACTTTGCTAGGGATCGAACCAACAGACTTTACGAAATTTTCTGTGCTTGTTGCAGATTTTTGTTTTTGGTTTTTAACGACTTTTCTGCCGTAGTGCCATCTGTGAGAAATCTATGAAAGTTTTTCTTAGTTCAGCCAGATACTTTTACAGTTCACCAGCGGCTTACTAGAGATGTCGCTTTAATCAATGTTACGATGTAAATTAATATACGATGTAAGATCGAACACTAACAAAAATTATTTCGTTATCCTCGCGAGATAGTTTGGCGCGCTCTGATTGACCGGGAGATTCTGCCGCCGC